GGGTGGTGCGCCCTGCAGGCCCAGGTGCTGCGGCTGTGGTGCAACAAGACCAGCGGTCAATTACCCCAGGGGCCCAAGTGTGTGAAACCCAGCCCCTCCCCGTGCTCCTGCCCCAGAGCCCCTGCTTCCAGCTCCCCTCAGTCCCGCCGTCCCAGAGCCTCTCTAGCCTAGACACTAGCCCCTCCCCTCGGGCCTCCCTCCCGCTCCTTACTCCCCGTTGACCCCACGCTCACTGCCCTGGCGCTCTCTGCTGCCCCTCATACCTGCACTGTCTCTGCCTCCTACATACCGGCTCGAGCTCTGTTCGCTGGGGCCCAGCCAGAACCTGCTAACCGTGCCAAGAGTAACGGGGTTCAGAGCCAGGGGTCAGGGCTGAGGGTGCCCTGGGGTGTGCTCTCCCTTCTGCTCCCTTGCCTGAGTGGGGAAAGGACTTCCAAGCTCCTGAAGACCTCCCTGAGCCACCTCTGCTTTTTTGCAGCCACTGCTGCCCGAAAATCCCCTGTTGCAGGGGATGCTAAATCCTACCTCTAGCAGGGAGGGTAGCCCTAGGAGTGGGGATCTGGGGATATTGTTCCCCCTCCCCAAGTTAAGGGGAGGTATTGGACCTGGCAGCAAGGGTCTTGATATTTGGATTCCAGGGGTGTGGTAGGCCAAGTAGGGAGGCTTTCCCTGACTCCTACCTGTGTCAGTGCCCCCCTACCCCACACCCTAGTCCTGTCCTGCATCCCCTCCTAGTCCAGCCCTGGGCATAGTTCTTCCTGGGCCCTTCAGTACTGTGAAGCCTGTGTACTGGCTGTAGAGGCTGAGTGCCAGTGGGTGGGTGCTGAGATTACCTTGCGGACAGAGCGGAAGGGTTCCTGCTCTAACAGCCTGGATCACTGACACTGAGCAGAAAGTCCCACTAGTAGAGTGTTATATGAACCCTGCAATCTGTGTCGCGAGCGCGCTTGCTGCAGGAAGTTGCCCTTTGCTCCACGCTAGCATGAAGAAACCCTGCCCTTCCCCCGCTCCTTGCAAGAGACCAATGCTCAGGGCAAATGCTGGGCATCCTGAAGTCCGTGCTGCCCTCTGTGGTAAATCTGTGTGCAGTGAGGGGCTGATCATTACCCATCCTTGCTATCCCATCCCCCCCTCACCTCGGTTGTCTTCTAGGCTGGGGATGGCAGCGCTTGTCTGGACAGCCCTTTGCCTTGCTTCTGCCATCGCTGTGGATAGAAGCAACTTCAAGACGTGCGATCAGAGTTCCTTCTGCAAGTGAGTAAGCAGCGCGGGGGCACTGGGCTGAATCAAGCCAAGTGTGAACAGTGATGGTAGGGAGCAGGAGTAGAGCATACGGGGCTGGAAGAATCATGGCTGTCATGCAAGGCCAGGAACTGCTGCTCTTTCTGCCCTCCCTCAGCCCCTGGCCTTGTGCTGGCAGCAGATTTTCTTGTGGAGCGGGCTGTTATGTAGTTCCCATGCTGGCTTCTCTTCTCAGCTCTCCCCAGGGCAGGGAGCAGACACGAAAACAAGTAGCGCTGCTGCTGGTTCTAGAGAGCAGGGATCCAGGCTGAGCTGTTCCCCTTGAGCCACACCTGCTGCTGGCTGCTCTAATTTTTCTCCCTGTCCCCAGGCGCCAGAGGAGTGTGAAGCCTGGGAGTTCCCCATACCGGGCATTGCTGGAGTCACTACAGCTCAGCCAGGACTCCATGAAACTGCAGCTTGTCAATGAAGTGAACAAGGTGAGGGGGGCCCAGCATGGGGTGGGGTAATGGGCTGGAAAGCCCTGCCCCAGGAGTGAGGGGAGCATGGGAAAGGGGGTCAGGACTTCCTGGTCATGATGGCATTGTGCCAGAACGCTGCTCTGGTATTGTGCAGCAGCCGTGTTGTAGTCAAGCCATGAGGTAATCTGTCCTCTGGATTCCTTGAGCCTTCACAGCTGGGGGGACATGCTCCCCCACTATGAGCATGTTGTATACATGACCCAGCTGGGCTCCACAAAGCTTCGGAGTGAGTGGCAGCATTTCACCCTCTGGAGTCGAGGTTTGGTGGTGCCTTCACCCAGGTGCAGCAGCCGGCAATGGGGAGTTGCTTTATGAATCTGGCTCCTTCTTTAGCCACGTGTTCTAGGGCCAGTTTGTGTGTGGAGAGTCTGTGTGCCCTGAAGCAAGCAGGCTGTAATGTGTGAGAGTCTGGGGAGGGGCATTAAAGCTGGAGAATAAAGGCTGCCAGGACTACAGCTGATTACTGAACAGGGCCTGAGGTGACCTGATGAGCTGTGGTGGAGAGCTTGGCAGGAACCTTGTTGGGAAGAATTCAAGCAGAGTTACTCTAGAGCAGTGGTCACCAACCAGTAGATCGGGTTGGTCACCAACCAGTCTATCGCCACAGAATGGATAGCGGGGCCAACAGGGCTTGGGATGGAGGGAGTTTGCTGGCTGCTTTTGAGAATGGTGCAGGGCCAGCGCAGGTGTGAGCCTGCCTTAGCCCCACTGCACCACCACCCAGGAGCTACCTGTGATAAACAGTGCCCAGTTGGAGCCAGTTCCAAACCCCTGGCCCAGTAATGTAACCCCTCCTACAGCTCAAACCCCTGTTCTAACCCTGAGCCCCCTGGATCCAAGCACCCTTACAGAGCCTGTACCCTGATCCCCCTCCTGACTCCAATGTCCTGCTCCAGGCTTAGCTCAGAGCTCCTCTCTCACTCCAAATCCCTTAGCCCAAGACCAGGGCCAGTGTCCCAACCCTCGGCCCTGCCTGGTGGAAGGGAGAGAGGATAGGGGAGGATGGAGTGAGCAGAGGTGGGGTCTTGGAGAAGAGGCAGGAAGGAGGTGGAGCAAGAGTATCTGGATTTGAGAGAGATCCTGGATTGCACTTAAATTCAAAAAGTGATTTTGTGCTTAAAAAGGTTGGAGACTAGAGCAGCCGGGACAGGCAGACAGACCTTTCTGGAGTCTGTGGGATGCCCCTCAGTTCAGTTGTCTCTGATCCACACCGGTTTGGCATCCCCCACTGCCAGTGCATGTTGTGTTCTTAATTTGGGGTATGTCTACACTACCCCGCTAGTTTGAACTAGCGGGGTAATGTATGCATACCGAACTTGCTAATGAAGCCTGGGATTTGAATTTCCCGGGCTTCATTAGCATAAAGCTGGCGCCGCCATTTTTAA